GCCTCCATAATGGCCCCCATAAGACGAGGCATGGCAATCATACAACACTAATTCCACTTTCTTTTCAGGAATGCATCTTCTCATCAACAGATCAGTACACTGTCTGTATAAGAATGGATCATCCCAGTAGTAGAAGTTCACATCATGTATAAACCTCGTTCTAGCTTCAGATTCAATTTTAGGAAGAAGTACCCCACTCACAATATAATTCACATAATTCGCGTACCATGGGCGAGGGTCTTGGGTGATAGCAAAAAGTTTCTCATCAGTAAATGCCTCCTTAATTTGTCTACCTTCCTCCACGTGCTTATGATGTTCCAGCCTTAATAGATGTTTGGCTACTTGATTTTCTGTGCCCTTCCGATCTCGTATTTCTACATCAAATTCCTGCAACAACAAAACCTAGCGCTTTAATCTAGCCTTGGATTCTTTTTTTGTAAATAACCTGATTGTTGCATGATCGGTATGGACTATAACTTTTGTTCCCACCAAGTATGCCCAAAATTTCTTAAAATCTCATACAACAGCCAATAACTCCTTTTTAGTGGTGTGTAATTCAGCTGTGCATCATCAAGAGTCTTACTCGCATAGTATTTGGAGTAAAACATCTTGTCCTTCCTCTGGCCTAGCACTACCCAATAGCATGGTCACTTGCATCGAATATAAGTTCAAATAGTAAGGACCAATCTGGCGCCACAATATCTGGGGCAGCCACCAACTTCTTTTTGAGCTCCTCGAATTCCTTCAGGCAGGCTTCATCAAAATTAAAGATTACATCCTTTTCAAGCAATATGCACAAAGGAGTAGTAATTTTTGAAAAATCTTTAATAAAGCGTCTATAGAACCCCGCGTGTCCCAAGAAACTCCGGACACCCTTCACAGAAATGGGTGGAGGTAATTTTGCAATCGCCTCCACCTTCACTCTATCAACTTCAATGCCACTCCTTGACACTCTATGGCCCAACACTATGCCTTCTTATACCATGAAATGACACTTTTATTAATTTAACACAAAATTTGTTTAATCACAACGGACCAACACCTTGCCCAAATTCTTCGAACAGTCATCATAAGAAGACCCAAAGACTGAAAAATTATCCATAAATACTTCTATGAATTTCTCAATCATATCAGCGAAAATGGCCAGCATACATCTCTGAAAAGTGGCCGGTGCATTACTAAGAACAAATGGCATTCGCTTGAAAGAAAAAGTACCATAAGGACATGTAAAAGTGGTCTTCTTCTGATCCTCTGGGTATATGACAATCTGGTTGTATCCCGAATAACCATCAAGGAAGCAATAATATTCATGCCCCGCCAATCTGTCCAACATCTGGTCAATAAATGAAAGTGGAAAGTGGTCCTTGCGGGTTGCTTTGTTGTGCCTTCTGTAGTCAATGCAAACTCTCCACCCCGTCACGGTGCGAGTAGGAATTAACTCATTTTTCTCATTCTCTACAACAGCCATCCCTCCTTTTTAGGCACACATTGCATTGGGCTCAACCAGTTTCTGTCAGAAATAGGGAAGACGATACCTGCATCAAGCCACTTAATTACTTCCTTCTTTATGACCTCTTTCATAATCGAATTTAATATCCTTTGTTGCTCAATACTAGGGCAGTTTCCATCTTCCAAAAAGATTCTATGCATGCAAAATGATGGACTAATTCCTTTGATATTAGCAATTGTCCACCCAATAGCGTTTTTATGCTCATGAAGCACTCTGAGCAACTTTTCTTCTTGCACATCGGTCAAGTTGGATGAGATAATCACTAGCAATATTTTAGAGTTGCCCAAGTATGCATAGCGCAGCTGTGGTGAAAGAGGCTTGAGCTCTAGCTTTGGAGCTTCGTCAATAGATGGTTTAGGAGGGGTCAGAGTAACAGGTCTGTCCAACTCCTCAAATCTCCCAAGCCCATAGACATATTTGCTAGACATGTTAAGTACTTGATCAATTTCTTCCATCATCTCATCTTCACTTTCTTCTTCATCCCCCATTAAACCTCGTTCAAGAGGATCTACGGGGCTTATATAAGGCACCAATGAAGTCACCTCACTTTCCACCACATAAATCATGGATATCTCTTCATAGTGGGCTGAAAATCTGAGTGCTTTATACACATTGAATACCTCCACTCGATCACACACTCTCATCGTCATCTTTCCTTCGCATACATCAATAATAGATTGGCCCGTGGCTAAGAATGGATGCCCCAAAATAAATAGGACTTCCTGATTAGGCGCATAGTCCAAGATAATGAAATCAGCGGGGAATATGAAAGAACCCACTTGAACTAACACATCTTCAATCACTCCTTCCAGATGAGTAGGGGAGCGATCAGCCAACTGTAAAATCACTGTGGTTGGGCGCGGGTCACTCAACCCCAACTGTCTTAAAATAGATAACGGCATCAAATTAATGCTCGCCCTAAGATCACACAAAGCTCGCCCGACTGCGTGCTTACCAATCGAGTTTTGGATAGTGAAACTACCTTGATCCTTCAATTTCTGAGGTAGCTTGGCTTGAATTCTTGAGCTATATTCTTCAGTGAGTGCCACAGTCTCAAACTCTTCCAACTTCCTTTTATTTGCCACCATGTCCTTGATGTATTTGACATATTTGGGCACTTCTTGCAAGATGTCTACCAGCGGAATATTGATTTGCACCTGCTTTAAATTATCAAGAAACCTTTTATAAGCAACATTATCCTTCACTTTCTGCAATCTCTGAGGGAACGTAGGTGGTGGCCTCGCAACTAATGGTGAGGTTTCTTTGCCACCGCCTCTTCAGTTGGCTTCTCTGACTCCTCTACTTTTTCTGATTCTGCTTCTATGGTGGCCGGTTTCTCACTAATGGTCACTTGCTTTCTCTTTTTTGATGGGACTTCTTCTAACTGTCTCTCATTCCTTAATGACACAATATTAATAGATTCCTTAGGATTAGCCTCAGTGTCGCTTGAAAGAGCTCCAACTGGTCGAGTATTTTGGGCACTGGCAAGTTGCCCCATTTGTCGCTCCAAATTTCTCATCGTTGCTGCTTGGGCTTGCTGGTCAGCCATTAATTTCTTTAGCATCTCCTCAATGTGACTCGTCAAGTTTGTAGGTTGTTCAACCTGCGGTGGTCTATATTATTGTGAGGAGCTTGTGGCATGTACTGATTCTGAGTACCTTGGTTTCCACCCCAAGAGAAGTTTGGATGGTTCCTCCAGTTAGGATTGTAAGTGTTCCCATACTGGTTTGTCTGGCCCCTATTTGTATTTCCCACAAAACAGACAGACTTTGGATTAGTTGGGCATAAGTCGCTCGTGTGACCCTCTCCACATACTTCACAAAATATCTTAACATGTTACAGCGGCTGAGTTTGTTGCTTGTTAATAACCAAGGTCATCTTATTGACATGGTTGGCCAATATGGCAACCTGCACTGATAATGTAGAAATAACATCTAACTCGAGGACCCTCATAGATTTTTGCACTCTATGTCTGCCCATCTCTCCTTGCCAATCAGGATTGATTTTGGAGAATTTGTTCAATAATGCATATATCCCATCGAAGCCTTTCTCCAACACTTGACCTCCCGCTGCAACGTCTACCACAATCTTTGTTTCTGGATGTAGCCCTTCAATGAAGGTGTGAGCTAACATTTCATTTATCTGGTTGTGATGAGGACAATCTCTGAGCAGCCCCTTGAATCTCTCCTAAGCTGAATATAGAGACTCCCCTGATTTCTTGTTGAAGGCGACTATCTCACTTCTGATCTTTGCAGTTTTGCTTGAAGGAAAAAACCGTGCCAAAACTTTCCTTGCCAGATCATTCCATGATGTAATAGAATTAGTTGGTTTCGCCTTCAACTGCTATTTTGCTTCGCCCAACAGAGGAAAAGGGAACAGTGTGAGCCTCACATAGTCTAGAGTGACTCCTTTAGTGATATAAGTTTCACTAATCTCTAAGAAGTTCAGGATGTGCTGTTGTGGATCCTCGTGTGGAATACCCATAAACAACCCATTCGCATGCAGTAACTGGATCATGCTCTATTTTAGCTCAAAGTACCCAGTGATTCTGGGCTTCACGATGCTGGAGGTGACATTAGCAATGTCGGGCATCGCCACCTCCTGAACAGTCATATGTTGCTCATCTGCCATGTTCATAGGCAATTGAACAAGTGCCTGAAGATTATTTATATCCTTTGCTTCCCTCAACCTCCTGTGAAATGTTCTCTCAGGTTCGAGGTCAAAGCCTTGAAGTCTATCCTGGCTTCTGACCCTTTGCATTCAATCAAAGTTCCTGAGAGCAGAGCAACTAATAATAAACGTTAGACTTGACGAAATAAACAACTAAAGTAAAAGCTAGAAAGTAGTCAATATTCAAGTCCTCGGCAACGACATCAAAAATTTGTTGCTCCCAAACGCGCACGCAAGTATACGTAGTCGTACAAGTAATAAAGTGATAAATCGAGTGTCGAACCCACAGAGATTTTTATAACTACCCACTAGTTTCACCAAGATTATTATTCAGTCGAGTCAATCAGTGTTCAAAAGTATGATAATATTAAGAAATAATTCTAGCAAGTAATTAATTAATCAAGCAGCAAAATAGTTGTTGTGTATTCGGTAGAGACGAATATTCAAGGGTTGTGATAGATTCACTAATCCTATTGTGTTCTAATTAACTTTTCCTTTCATACAATTCACTCATGGTTGCTAATTAATCAAATAATTACTATCGTAGTATTCTCCCGAATTACTACTCGCCTATTCAAAATAGATTAACACATATATTTTCATGGAATCAATCTATTGCGAACGCATTAAGATTAAGATATTTATTTAAGTATGGTGACTAGGTATATTCCTATCCTAACCACAAATCCTCCCCCCACTCAGAGTTAAGATCATGCCTTCTTCAATTCTTCTCTAATCTAGACGTAGCTTTCCCAAGCATAGCATATATAGTAAATAGAACCTAACTAGTGGCCAGCCAATTAGGCAATTAATCACATAATTGAAAAAATAACCATGTATTAGCAATTTATAATTAAGGTTAAGTCAACGTCAATCAACAATATTCATGGCTAAATCACTACCCCAGAACTATGGGTTTTAGCCACTCATGATAACATCAAAACAAATTCACAAGTGTTGAATAATTGAGAATACTAAGAAACGATGAAGAAAATTGAGATATCCCCGCTCCCGGTTGTTCCTCATGTGTATTCTTCCCTCGAAGTGGCGTCTCCCTCCTCAAAATAGGCTTAGTCTTCCTTTTATACGAGTTGGGGAGAGGGGAGTCTTGGGCCGAAATAACCTTGTCTCGGACGAACTAAGAGAACTTTTCAGTCACCAGCACCCAAGATAGCGTGGGGCACTAGCCCTGGCGGTGGAATTTCTGGCATTCTGACTTCTGCGCCACAGGTAGCGCCCCATGCTGCCTGTGGCGCTACTTTATGGCAATTTCCCCGTTTCGCTCCTTTTTGCCTCCAATCTCGCACATTCGTACCATATTGTCTCTGGATGATTCCTACACATAAAAATACCACGAATTAGCACAAATCATTACATTTTACATCCGAAATCTACGAAATATGAGTAAAATGCGAGACTATATATATATAAATATACATATTTTAAGTTAAATATCAATGTTCCTTTCCTAATCCAATTTACTCACAGTAAGCGACTTATGAATTGGAAGGCCGCCTCTGTCAAACCTAGCAATTTTTATTTTTTTTGTATTGTTTGTCTCCTAATGGACTAATACACCAAAGACTCCCCATAACGAGAAATTTTATTTGATGTGAGACTCTAACTATTGTCAATTGTATGAGGGCTTCACTGTCTGACAAGTGTATTCTGGGGCCCATGACTTTTTGTTAATTTCTCTTTACTCTTTCTTCTCTCCTTTTCGGAACCCCAGAATCATCCTGCTTCCTGGTTCCTTATTTTCATTTCCCAAGGACTCACTGCCCTCTACCCAAAATAAATTCTCTTCCTCCCTTTATTTTTTCGTAATTCTTTTCCTCATTTACTAAATTCTCTTTCTACTTCTAGCACTTCAAACTGTTCTTTTTTCTCTTAAGTTTTCTTACCATCAATTTTATTCCTCTCAAGCCCTCGTATTTTGTTAGTTTAAAATCTTCATCTTTGTCATTGCAAAGCATCAAAAATTATATATAAATAGATCACTTAAACTCCTAATTAACTTAATTTTGGCTTTATTTTCTTGGAGCGGATCAAAATATGGACAGTTCCAAAGAACATATTCAATGCTTTCTAAATGTGATTAAGACCCACCTCAGGTCAACAATTTTTAACCATAAAAAGAGGACTCTAATGGCAGTACTTGATCAACACAGTCGAACACACCAGACATTTTGTGTTAATGCATTTCTGAAATAGATCTAAGTGTAAAATTAGAAATTGAGAACCTTCCTAATTGTTTTCCTCAAATAACATGGAGAAAGATAGAGAAGAAGAGTAGAAAAGAAAGAACCAAAAAAGTAACAGTAAAGAAGGAATAGTTAAGATAGAAACTCAAAGAAAGAGAGTAAGAGGAAGAAAAATAACAAATCAATGAAGGGAAAAAAAGGTGATGGAAAGAACAAGGAAGAAGATGGTCTAGAAGAGGAGAGAAAAATCTGACAAGTGGGATCCATTGTAAAACAGCTGTCAAGCATATAATACGCCCTTATACAACTTTTGTTAGTTGATTGATTGGCAGCATGACGTATGGGCTTGATCCCACCTTTTTTCATCCCTAAAGTCTTTTATAATTCACAAACATGTGTAATTTAGAATTTAGCCCACTAACCACTTATTTAGACAATATCTTAAATATTGTAGTAAATATCCTTCCACTAGTTTAATATTTGACCGAATAGTAATATACTAAAATAATTTTCAGTCTCACAATCAGTATTTTAAAAGGTGTTTTGGGGGCATGCCCTGGGGCAAGGCGCACCAAAAATGCCCCGAGGTGATGGTGTTGAGCGAAAGTCTCAAGAGGCGTATGTCCAGCAATTCGGGACGTACGCCCGGGCATTTGTAGCGCGTTTTTGTAGTGAGGCGTAAGCCCTAGAGAATTTTTCAAATTAAAATAAAATTTGTTGAATAAGTCCTTCATATAATACCCAAAATTCTTAAAAGTCAGCTTGTAATTACTCAAAAGTTTTAAAAAGGAATTGAAATGTATTGAATTTAAAAGTCCAGACCTTTTTTTATTAATTGAAGCCCTAATTTATGATATTTTTTAATTCTTTATCTTGTCCGCTAGTCTGCTAATATCTCCCAAAGTAACGAATATTCAATTTCTTTTTTACAAATACAAAGAGAACTCCATTCTTCTTCATAGCAGCAAGTTCAAAGTTCAAATTGCAGGTTAGTCATCCTTTTTGTTCCTCCATGTAGAAAACTTTATTCTTTTCGACTCATGTTATTTGTTCTTGTAAGTAGCGTATAATAGATTATTTTGACTAGTTTTTATGGTGATGGAGCACATCTATATATATATATTTCACATATTTATAGTTATCTTCAATTTTTATGTAATTTTACCTGTTTATAAATATTTATTGTAATTATATTACTTTATAAAATATTAAGAATTAAATTGTCACGACCTATATTTCCATCCATAGGATGTCATGATGGAAACTAGTCTCTAAGACTAGGTAAGCCTAATAATTTACGGAATAACTGAATATAAACTGAACTCAAACCTCAACACATGAAATATAAACAAGAACTGCGATTTAAATAATTACAACTCCCAAAACCTGATAGAAATAAGTAACAAGCCCTAAAGAGAAATACTAAGTGTCTCTATACATCAGAGTCTAAGGAAAATAAAGAAGAAAATAACATAATAAGAGTAGAGGGGGACTCCGAGGTCTGCAGACGCGGGCAGAAATACCTTGAAGTCTCCACGCAGGCTATCTCACTGGTATCTGGCCTGGTAGGAAGAAACTGGATCTGTACAAAAAGATGTGCAGAAATATAGTATGAGTACACTACAACGGTAACCAGTAAGTGCCAAGCCTAACCTCGGTAGAGTAGTGATGAGGTCAAGTCAGGGCCCTACTGAAATAAAAAGGAAACAAGGCAGAAGATATAACAATATAATAAAATGACGGGGAATTTGATCAATGAGAAGTTACATAAAGGTAACAACATAACGAATAAAGGTAAATAACAGGGGCTCTCCCGAGGTATTGCCTCGTAGTCCCAAATATAAATACACAACAGGGGAGTTCTCGAGTTACCGCCTCATAGTCCCAAAAGTAAATATGCAACAGGTGTACTCCCGAGGTACCGCCTCGTAGTCCCAAAAGTAAATACACAACAGGGGAGCTCCCGAGGTACCGCCTCGTAGTCCCAAAAGTAAATATGCAACAGGTGCGCTCCCGAGGTACTGCCTCGTAGTCCCAAAAGTAAATACACATCTTATAACATATGGAACAACAAGTTTACAACAAGGAATCATACAGTTAAAGACTGAATACAAGATCAAGGAAGCAAGTAATTCAACTAAGCATGTTGCAAAAATTACAAGTAAGAATTAAGTCACGTAGGCATGCAACATTTGGCTAAACATGATGACTACACTGGCTAGAGCAACTTAGTTAAGGAATCAAAAGAAAACTACTCAGCAAGAACTGAATTTTTCAACATATAACCCAAGTACGCACTCGTCACCTTGCGTACATGGTGTTCTCGTATTTCAAATATCATAACAGTACCAAAACCTAAGGGAAGTTTCCCCCACACAAGGTTAAACAAGTCACTTAGCTTAAATCTCGCTCAATCAGTCGATAAGAATGCCTTTTTCTCAACTTTCCGACTCCGAACGGCCCAAATCTATCCAAAAGCAATTACATACTATAAATACAACTACAAAAAACTAATTTAAATAATAAATCTATGACTTTAGCAATGAATCGAAAAATCACCCCAAAAAGTCGACCCGGGCCCACGTCTCGGAATCGGGTAAAAGTCACAAAATACGAACAAACATTAGATATCGAGTTCACCCATACCAAAATTACTCAAATCCGATACAAAATTCTCGATCAAAACCTCAAAATTCAGCCTAAGGAGTTTTCTACCTTTTTCACAAATTTCTCAACACAAATCCTTAATTAAAGGAAGATTAAATGATATCTTAATGGAAATTAATCAAAACCAAGTCAAGAATCCTTACCCAAATATTTTCTCTAAAAAGCCCTCGAAATTTCGCCTCAATCCAAGCTCTTTAGGTCCAAAAGTGCAGAATGAAATCAAACCCTCGAACTTAGGCCTTTTCTGACCAGTGAATTCGTACCTGGGAACCCACAGCCACTTCTGCGGCTCCGCACCTGCGGAAGTTTCATCGCAGATGCAGTTCTCACTTAGTTCAGACACGTCCGCTTCTACGAACCCAAATGCGCATCTGCACTTCCACTTCTACGGCTAAGGAGCACTTCTGCGGACCAAGTCCGCTTCTGCGATCACCAGGCCTTCCTGGCCTTTCCACTTCTGCGCTCGTCCTTCCACAGAAGCGACACCGCTTCTCTGACCTACTCATCATTCCTGTGACCACTGGCTACCTTCTCTAGTTCCTCTTTTGCGCTTGGCCTCATGCTTCTGCGGGCCCGCACCTACGGTCAATCTTGCGGAGGTGCGGTTGCACTAGAACTGGTGCACTTCAGCCATTCTTTAAACTTTAACTTGATCCGTTAACAATCTGAAATCAACCCGAGGCCCCCGAGACCTCAACCAAACATACCAACAAGTGCTAAAACATCATACGAACTTAGTTGAGCCTTTAAATTACATCAAACAACGCTAAAAATATGAATTGTACATCGATTCAAGATTAATGAAGTTTAAAACTTTAAACTTCTACATCCGACGCCGAAACCTATCAAATCAAGTCCGATTTATCCCAAATTTTGCACACAAGTCATAATCACCATTACATACCTACTCCAACTTCCGGAATCAGAATCCGACCCCGATATCAAAAAGTTCACTCCCGGTCAATCTTTCCCAAAAATCATCCAATTTTTCAACTTTCGCCAATTAACGCCGAAATGACATACGGGCCTCCAAATCAACATCCGGACACGCTCCTATGACCAAAATCACCCTATGGAGCTATTGGAACTGTCGACACTCCATTCCGGAGTCATCTTTACACAATTCAACTACGGTCAATTCCCACGACTTAAACTTCCATTTTAGGGACTATGTGTCCTATTCCACTCCGAAACCAAAAAACCAAACCTCTCGGCAAGTCAAAAAATCCAAAAATGAAATAGAGGGAGCAATAAATAGGGGTTCGAGACTAATACTCTCAAAACGACCGGCCGGGTCGTTATATCCTCCCCCTCTTAAAATAAATGTTCGTCCTCGAACGAGTATAGAGACATACCTGAAGTGGTGAAAAGATAAGGATAACGGCTGCGCATATCATGCTGGGTCTCCCAAGTCGCCTCCGCAACCGGATGACCCCTCCACTGAACCTTCTAAAGCGATGTTGTTTGACCTTAACTTTCGAACTTGCCTTTCCAAAATGGCCACCGGCTCCTCAACATAAGATAGATCCTTGTCGAACTGGACTGAGCTGAAGTCTAACATATAAGATGGATCGTCGTGATACTTCCGGAGCATGGAAATATGGAATACTAGATGAACTGCACATAGTCTAGGTGGTAGTGCAAGTCTGTAAGCCACCTCTCTAACCCTTTCAAGAATATTAAAGTCCCGATATATCTAGGGCTCAACTTGCCCTTCCTCCCGAACCTCATAACACCTTTCATGGGAGAAACCCGGAGCAAGACCTGCTCCCCAACCATGAATGCAATGTCGCGAACCTTCCGATCCGCATAACTCTTCTTCCTGGAATGGGCTATACGAAGTCTATCCTGAATCAATTTAACCTTTTCCAAAGCATCCACCACCAAGTCTGTATCCAATAGCCTAGCCTCGCCCTGCTCGAACCAACCCACTAGAGACCGGCACCGCTTACCATACAAGGCCTCATACGGTGCCATATGAATGCTCGACTGGTAACTGTTGTTGTAGGCAAACTCCGCAAGTGGAAAGAACTGATCCCAAGCACCCCCAAAATCCATCACACACGCACGAAGCATATCCTCCAATATTTGAATAGTGCGCTCGGACTATCTGTCCGTCTGAGGGTGAAATATTGTACTCAACTCCACCCGAGTACCCAACTCATGTTGTACGGTTCTCCAGAATCGCGATATAAACTGCGTACCCCTATAAGAGATGATAGATACCGGCATGCCATGAAGCCTGACAATCTCGCAAATGTAAACCTGAGCCAGCTGCTCCGAAGAGTAAGTAGTAACCACAGGAATGAAATGAGCTGACTTGGTCAATCTATCCATAATCACCCAAACTGCATCGAACTTTCTCTGAGATCGTGGGAACCCAACAACGAAATCCATAGTGATCCGCTCCCATTTCCATTCCAGAATATCTAGCTTCTAAAGCAATCCACCCGGTCGTTGAT